TTTGAAAACAAGCATGACTACATCGGAAACAAGCTTTGCTACATAAGGCAAGCGTTGTTACATGGAACCATATGCTGCAAAAGGTGTCTGGAAATTTAGGCACTGGAAATTTAGGCACCTGATATTTAGGCACCGGATATTTAGGCACCGAATATTAGGCATCCGGAAATTCACGCACTTTTTGACAAGGCGGAAAATTAAGCACCGTAAAATTTGAAATTCGGCACTCTTTAATATTGATCTTAATTTTGAGCATAATTAAAAAGTTTTAACGTATATTTTATCCTTAAGTTATGAGCTATCGGTGACGTTATGAAAAATAGCAACTCTAACGTTCTGCTTTTCATGGTACAAAAAGAAGAGCTGACAAAACGGAAAAAAATTACAATCTTGACAATACTATTATGTACTATATGACCGACTGACGACAAAATACCACAGGATACGGAGTATAAGTTATTTTATCTTATAAATTACAAGTATTGATGTTATTGAATGATTATTTTATTGATGGTTTTGTTAAGGATAATATGTCATTCAATGCCTCAACGAAGGAACTTCTTACTTTCGATAAATGACTGTAGTATGTAAAATTGTAGTGTTTTATACTGCATTCCACTTGTATAGTATGAAACACTGCTTATTGTTTTAAATTTGCTTATTGTTTTAAATTGTATTCGACTTGTACACATACTAAATGTATTCTTTCTCTTTTAGAACACAAGTCAACATTTTATTTAATAAGTAAGCAACTTGTATAAAAGAAAACAGTTTAGTAATACAAAATATTTTCTATGACATTCGAACAATAAACAAAACCGTTTCCACACAATTCAAAGAGTAAACTATTAACTCCCTTATTAACATAGTCTCCCCTGGTTTTTTATTTTTTAAATATTTTTTTATAATTAATAACGAATAATTATAAACTGTATTTTTATGAAAAAAATGCTTGCATAGATATTTTTTTTAATTTAATGTTTCGCTTTCAGGAAAGAAAAAAAGTTGCATCAGAACTTTGAAAGATCTAAAAATATCATGATGGATTTTAGTCAGGTGCTTTTTTTACTTGGCTTAAGGGGCCACTTAATGATTGATTACTCCTAAATAAACTCCAGAAAATTCCAGCTATCCAGGAAAACTAAGATCTTTAATAATCCAAAAAGACATAATGACAGCAAAAACACACATGTTCTATTTCACTCTCGGAAAACAACTGACTACCAATATCTCACTATCATACAAGGAACACTCACATTCAAAAACATCACGTGTAAACTGATCGCAGTCATACCTAGAGATGGAGATATAAACAAATGGATATAACTATTTGACACCAAAATATCACCAAAGAAATAACACTCTCACCATACCTGCCCCTGACAATTTTCAATATCTTTTCTTCTTTTTGAGATCTTAACGGAACATACCAACGGACAGACAGTTCATGTTAAACTAAACGCGGCTTCTCCCATTTCTAGGACCGCTCAGAACGACGGGAAAATTTTGGATTTAGGCGGAGACTTGATTTTTCTGTGGGCTTAGTGCACCCATCTCTACTGGGTGGAACGTGAAGGCGGATGATCTTCGACCTTTAGTGAACTCTTACCTCATCATTCCCATGAGGCAGCACGTTTCTATGGTAACTAAACAAACAATGACGAAACACAATCATGGTCAGCCCCAAAGGTTTTGTTTTCCTCCATTGTGTATTATGTAACGTGTTCTAATGAAAGGTGGCTCAGTAACAACAACATTATGACATAACCACGTAGTTGTGTTAAACGAGATTATGTTTCTTATAAACTTTCTTTCATACAATCTTTACAAATAAAACATCGTCTGACAATCATCTGCAAAGGGGGACAATCGATGCATACGGTGATGGAAGTTACGTTTTTCTTTACAATGGATGTTACTGTTTGTGTTGGCAAAGCTAAAAAAAAGCGTAGCACAATGACCATAGCTCCATATTTTAAGTTACTCAGAGACACATAATCGTATACATTACTAACGTTCTTTAAAATGAGAATTAATTAAGTCCTACGCACGTGAATCTATTCGTAAATGTTAATTAGACACTTAGACTTTGCTATGTCGATGGCAATCTAGGCTGAATCAGTCAAACCTATTCCATGCTCTAATGGCTTTATGCAAGAAAAAAAAAGTAGTTTTATAAATATCCTTTTGTATATGGAATTTATCTTTATGGTTCAGTGTTTTATGTAATAATGCCAGGGCCAGATTCAGAGATGTAAGTGAGATATATAACTTCTTGTCAGGCTATTTTTTGTTTGTTTTTGTTTGTACTGTGTAATGGTTGAATATATCCTTGCATTTAGAGGGCCCTGAGCTTATGTTGCCATAGGTAAATCCAGCACTAATTACTGCTACTGTACTTTTTAGTACCTATACTGAAGTACCTCTAAATTGAGTTGATTTAACTAACGGTGTTAATCGTCAAGTAAATCCCCCCGCCCCCCTCTCTCCGCGGCCCAAGCGGACAAAAAAAAAATTAAAAATTCGAACTTAAGGTCCACATTCGACCGCTTGACCATTCAATTATTGTTACATGCATACCACGATTTATAATGATCCTGGGGGTGGCTAAAGAGCCCCCCCCCCCTGCTAAGCCCAGAGCACTGTACAAGATGTCACTCATTTTATCTCTCCCCGCTAGCTCGTTGTCTGACCTCCACTGTTGACGACCTTGAGAGTGTTGATACCGCGTGAGATGACCTCATTATCTCTTCTGGCCGCCACACCATTTCATCGTCTGCCTCGCTTCAAACTATTTTTAGAAGCGCCCTTGATGAAAGAGGGATTTCAGTATCTGTGTGCATCGGTTAGCATGAGAAAATAGTCCCCCGTCATTATAGAGTGATATTACAAAACTTCTTTGGGGATTAAACGAAGCAGGATAGAAGAAGGTTAGAATATAAAAATGCGAAAGTTTTAATGGCAAACGTGGTTTCATAATCATTGTCATCGATCTGTCATGATGAATGAAGTCTGAAATCTTTCAACCATCCATTACATTTATTTAAGCTTCCGCTGAGTGTGAGATTCAAGCGGAAATGTCCGACGTCTTCTTTTTCTTTTTTTACCTCCCTTTGTAAGATAGAAGCAGACGTCTCAATGTTAAAAAAAAAAGCCTTAACATTAATGATTATGCAACAGATCTTACTTTTACACAATTTTCAGTGGTTCCATCATTGAGTATTTTCTACTAGATCTAGACCATAATTCTTTTGTTACCTCCCCCTCGAAGTGTTCAGTTCCACTTCTACAGAATTTTGAAATATAAAGCCAAATGTTTTTAAAGAACTAACCAATGTTTTGAATTTGAGTTTAAAAGATTTCTTCAACAATACACAGTACGTACAAGCCCCAAGATATAGATGCTAGTTGACTGGGAGCAAATTTGTGACCTTTTAGACGACAGCTCAATGCGCATAGTCCCCTATATTTCACGTTTTTAAGTATTAAAGACCTAGTTATTCCAACCAAAGAGTGAGCCTAACAAGAAAATTACCGTTATTTCGCTATAAACAATTGTGGACCGGGGCATTCATGGACTATGTTGACCTAATTATGGATTGAACCATTTCGCTTCTTCAGGAAATTAGGATGGGTTAATGAATGAAAGTATTCTCAAGACTTGTGTGTTTGGCCAAGTTGACTAATGGTCCGGATATGGAGAATAGTGTCAATGATTTGCCCGCCACTTTCTCTTTCTAATATTCGTACATACACACAATCCTTTTCATTTGTTTGTTTTTTCCTCACAATTCCCCTCCCTCACACTTCCTCAACACACACACTCTCTTAATCACACACACACAAAGTAAATGTCTGAACAGCAGACATCATTGACGTCAAGAAATTAGAACTTTCCTTAAGGAATGAAATTGAGACCCACCCACCCCCTCCCAAAAAAAAAATCTAATTTTAATCTCTTATATTTAAAGTCTTCAGATGAAAAGTTTCGAGTGAAACCCATCTATTCTCTTGATGTTAAGAACACGCAGTTTTTTTTTTTGTCGGCATCTGGGAAATGGGTTTGCTTCTGCTACTGGCTATACAGACTTATGTTGATAAAAAAAATTGATTTGGTTCGAAAACTATTTTTAGACTTTGTTGATCTGAAACAAATTTAAATGTTGAATTTCTGAAGTCAGCAAGAATTTCCATTAACTTCCTGCCAGTGTAGATGTCATTCAGAGGAGTCCTACCACAATCTGAATCAGCGGTTCTCAAACTTTTAATCTCGGCGACCCCTTTTTACAACCCCCACTCTGCCGTGCCCCCCTCCCCCACACATAGCAATAGAAGAATAGACAATAACAATCCATATTTTCGATGGACTTAAGCGACCCATGATTAATCGTCAATCAACCCATCCCCAAAGGGGTCGCGATCCACAGGTTGAGAAAACCTGATCTAAATCTATTTCCATTTGTTTCTAGCACACGAGATATATTAATTGTACGAAGACCTACCTAAAGTGACAGTAATAAAAAAAAAAAAAAACAGACCATGTTGAGCAGGTCACTTCGAAAGAATGCCAGAGAACAGAGGAGCACACACAAAAAAAAGGCAGGCGACCCAAAGGCAGACCACGACTACGATAGATATGACGATGTGGAGGCAGATCTACAACAGCTTGGGGTTCAGGGATGGAGACGAAAGGCTAAGGAGAGATCTGAATGGAGGGATGTATTGAGGCAGACCAGAGTCCCTCCAAGGGCTGTACAGCTACTGGGATGGACGGATGGACATTTAAATAGATGTACTTATGTCTAATTCAGGGATGCCCAAATTAAGGCACGCCATCCACATTCAACCAGTGCAGCGGTGCTATCAGGCCAGTGAAGCGATGCTCATTGTTGGATCAAGTTGAAATTTTGCAGTTATTCAGAGCCGATGACAATATACGAATCAATAAAAAAAAGCTTAACCGATTAATTAATTTAATTAGTGGTAATTTTGTTTTATATAGAAAAAAGGGAACTAAACTTTGCAGTATTAATATATATAGCATAGATTTTGCGGTTCTTACCCTTAAAATGTTTTGTTTATTTATGTTTTTAAATTTTGCTTTTTTGTTTGCACTTTTGGGGATTTTCAGGACGAATTCTCCATATAATGTCCAGAGGATTTCATAAAAAGATCACTGCTGCCAACCAAATAAAAAAAAAGTTTATGCTAGAAATAAAATAGTTAAAGTAATTTTATTTTAACTTGCTGGAAGGTGCAGGAAAGGTATCTAAATTACAAAACAAATCAACACATCCCTTTCACCGGATACATCTAATTGGTATTTATAACTATCCGGCAATAAATGATTATCTCCGATAGCCTCGTAATGGAAAAACAAAACAGGATGAAAAATGGTCATGTTTTCTTCATGTTTGCAATACGATCTAATGTTTATGTTTAACCCTTAAGACGCGTTTGGTAGTTTAGCCTCTAAACAATAGAATTGTATTTCCATTTTGTATGCACTCATTGTAAAAAAAAGCTCAGCACGTTAAGGGTTAAGTAACAGAATAAGATTGGAGAGGGGGGGGGAGGGGTAAGGTGAGCAAATAGTTTTGTTTAATCTCCAGGCTGTTTTAATAACTCTTCTTATTTTCTTGATCACATGATTCAGCACAAGGCTTCGACCTTGAACTAAAGCCTTGTGCTCTATGTCAGAGGTTCTAAATCTTTTTAGGTTTGAGTATCACTTCTACATCGAGGGTGAAGGCAAAGGAAGATTGATAAAGCGCTTTTTAGTTGTTGTTTTTAGCGATACACATCGATCAGAATAACAAAAAGCTCAGTGTTTGGGTTGTTGCTTTTCTGATCACTATAAAAATGACTAAGGTGCACTGAAAGTGAAAAAAGTTGAGAACCACCGATCCATGCTGCTGCCACCTGTACTTACTCACACTCGCCATTATTTAAACAAACACCAGCAGAGTCTCTACCAGAGTTTACCTCCCTGCACAAGAGAACACGATCGAGAAATGATTTTGATGAACTGGTTTTCATCCTAAACTGTTGTTTTTTTTAACTTAAATCAAATCTGTCTATTGGTGTGAATGAATTCATGTCTGTCTTCAGGTGTGAATGAATTCATATCTGTCTTTTGGTGTGAATGAATTCATATCTGTCTATTGGTGTGAATGAATTCATGTTTGTCTTTTGGTGTGAATGAATTCATGTCTGTCTTTTTGTGTGAATGAATTCATGTCTGTCTTCAGGTGTGAATGAATTCATGTCGGTCTTCAGGTGTGAATGAATTCATGTCTGTCTTCAGGTGTGAATGAATTCATGTCTGTCTTCAAGTGTGAATGAATTCGTCTAGAACGTAAAATAAGCGTATTTTAACTTCTGGCTTTCTAGTAATTTACTTTGATGTCTTAAGCGACAAGAAACACCTAAGTCTGTCGCTCTGATTGTCTAATGGGTCTCTCGACAAAGTCCCTGCAACTGATTCTTTCATTCCTAACAAAGTCCTGGATTGACATCCACACGAAGTCTCATACCTCCTGTTCGTATTTTTCAATTGCCTCTAACGCCACAAGATTAGCAGCCATCCCTATGACACGACCATGGCAGGATCTCACAGGGGCGACGTTCGGTTTTTTTTTTTCCAGAAAGGCTTTGAGGAGAAAGAAACTTAAGTCCGGCCCTGGACGAAAAGAGACTTTAACTCACCATCGGTGAGTGTTACTAATGGAAAAAACGGTCAATAAATCCATTCCACTAAAAGAACAAATGACCAATGGATTAGAAATAGTAAAAAAAAAAAAAGAAAGACATGCAAGTTTGACGAGTTGCTAGCTCAAAGTTGGATCTCATTAAAGCCCCTACAAATGTCCAAAGGGTATCAGACGGCTCCTTTACTTTTCGAAATTATAACCAGTCTAGAAAGGGCGTCGTGACCTAATTGGCCGCTCGGTGCGGCAAGCGTCCATTAAGAAACGTCCCGTCCCGTCTCCCAGCAATGTTCCGATTTATTCTTAGGTAGAAAATCTGTCGGCAACAAAAATCCAATTTACTCCGGAGCACGTCGCCATTTTTACGCTCTCTCCCTCCCTACTCATACTGTTGTAGTCAGCTCTATGCCATGGTCTTCATTCAGAGAGTAGACCAGCTCGAAGTGCTCACTTGTGATAAGTCTCACTCAGCGAGTCTCAAAAGGTTTTTTTTTACCAGGGAAGATTTACAATTTAAAAAACAAAAACGTCGAATTTCAAACTGTTTGGAACAGGAAATCAAGAAGCTGTACAGTAAGCACAATTCCCATGAAGATGTTTCTGTGGTCCACGATTAACGAGGATGTCATGTGACCAGCACCATGACCAACCCCCCTTTACTTAACATCACCTTATGTATTGGTACTCATTAGAGCTGGGTGGACTCAAGAGGAGCCATAAGGATCCCGAAACTAAAAATCCCAGTCTACACCAGGATTCGAGCCCCGGATCATCCGGTTCCCAGGATTCGAACCCGCACCATGTGGTTCGGAATCCAATGGCATTACCACTCAGCCACAGATGTCCCCTCAAAAAAAAAGATAGTTACGCTACTTTTGAAGCTATCGTATCTTCTTTATTAGAGAACATTTTTCTACTTGTGTAAACGGTCACAGACTTTCGAAAACGTGTAGCCTACACAAAAAAGTGATTAGATCGCACCCAGCATCTCTGTAAAACATCAGAAGTTTTGCAGCTTTATAGGTTAGTGCTATGACGTTACTATAGTAACCAAATATCGTATAACCCTTTCAATTCTGTTGGTGTAATAAACGAGAAAAAAAAAAAAAAAACATCGCGAGAAGGAAAAATGAGAGACTTGATATTTGAACCAAGAGGACCAGAGAGAAATATCACTAGGACCCCCCCCCAGATAATTCAAACTACGCCTCAGTAAAATGTCTGTCTAGTGACAAATCTATCCTCTGATACATAATAATGGCATATCTGCGGACATATTTCAAATAATGCATTTAAAAAGATAACGAAACTAGTCAGCGGTACATGTCTATAAGGGAAAGAAAAAGTTCTTGAAATCAAAAGGAATTCGAACCAAAAAAAAATTAATAAAAATAATGATTTAATACATTAGGAAAAAAAACAACTTATTCACAGTCAACAAACTTGGACATTTTTTTTTTCAACTGTATAAAAATTGGGCTATTGATAATTGAAAAAATTTATCTTACATTTAAACACTAGACCAATAGTGTCAAAGATGACGTAATTAAGAGTATAAAAATAGTGTCGGTGGGGACCTAATTAAAAAAAAAAATACTAATAACATAATAACAATATTAGGAAACGGATTTATTCTCCATATCCAAGTGTTGTGTGTAAATTTATAAATGCCGAAAAAAACAAATTATGACCAATAGCCAACTGGCGTGGGGGGGGGGGGGGGGAGCATCAGCACTGGAGGTAAAAAGCTGACTATATTTTATATGCTTGTGAGTCGTGGACCCTGACTGAAGAGCTAGAGAGGAGGATCCTAGCAATGGAATTGAGATGTTACAGAAGGATGCTAGGTATCACATTTAAAGACCGCATCACAAACCAAGAGTTAAGAGACAGGGTTACTGCAGCGATTGGACCCCATGATGACCTGCTAACTATCGTAAATAAAAAAAAACCGCTAAAAAGCTAAAAATCTATGACCATATTACCAGGTCTTCGGGGCTCGCAAAGAAGTTCCCTTTAGGGAGCAGTACCAGAAAAAAGAAGAAGAGGTAGACAGAGAAAGCGATAGGAAGACAACATAAAAAAAATGGACGGTCCTGCTATTGAAAGGGGTTTTACCTACCGCAGTAGACAGAAATGGAGAAGGACTGTCGACAAATCTTGCATGGTGCCCAACGGCCCAACAGACTAATGGATAGGTAAAGGTAAAAAATCCAAGTGTGTTGTGTAAAATATTTCTATCCGCCTATGTGTCGTCTGAACCATTTATATATCCAATTGTAGCGTCTGAAACAATCAAAAGGGGGGGGGGGGGGGGGGTAAAACCAAATCAGTGTTGGTCTTTTCGATACATCGTATCTAACATCTCGGAGATTATTCTGCTTCTTTCTAAGGGACGCTCTGTTCACACAATGTGGCGCCCCTGGGGCAGATTGAGTGACGGCCATCGGAGATAGGGTGGCGCACGTTGCGTGATGGATGCGACGTCTCGTGGGCCTGATTGACCTTGTTGCGCAGGGCGATAGCGAGGTGCTTCGTGAGGTGATTGGCCCTCACGTGACCAAGCACATAAGGGGGTGATTGTTTGACCAGGGTGTAACCCAATGGTGCTGGTACATTGAAGATGTTAAGATTCCCACGTAAAATAAGCAATAAGGGGGCAACATGAGATCGTCTGCTGCTTTTTTTCCCAACATGCAATTTCATTCACTTCCGGCAGAAGGGAAATTTGAAAGACATTTTAAAAAATAGCAGGCTATCCCACCATTCACTAGTAATACTGAATTATTATCATTACTATTATTATTATGTGAAAAAAGAACTAACATTCATTCTTTGGCACTGCCACTTTTTAGCTTCTTTACAAAGAAACAATTCATTGTAACCCCTTTAACAGTGTTCACTGTGAAATTTTCTGGTTATGTGGCAGGTCTGCAGCAGTACCGCCCTCTGACAGGCAACGAGAATCTTCTTAGAGATGTTAAGGGCCTTGAATGTATCTGTGAGATCAGATGTCATTATCCTCTCAGTTGATATAACAACAGGGTATTTTATTTTAGACAACTTCCATAACCGCTTAATCTCCAAGCTTAGGTTCTTTGTTTTTTCCATTTCGGTTGTCCTTATAGCATGGGATATTATTATTATTATTATAAAACGTGTCTCGCATGCTCTGCTGCTGCCAGGTTCGAGATTCACTAAAGGGAAACAATTCATTTCAGTTCTCTTATAAGTGGCCACTGTGACATTGTCTGATAGGTCTGCAGCAGTACCCGTCCTCTGATAAGTAATGAAAATCTTTTAACGAACGTTCAGGGTCACAAAGATGTCTGCAATTGCATTGGTCACTACCCCTTCGGCTGATATCACGATATTCCCAATAGTGAGTATTGCAATTTTAACCAACTTATTCGTCAGTTTTATCTTCAAGCTAAAATTTTCATATTTTATCCTTTAATGACTTTAACTAGTTAAACTTTTTATTAGTATTATTATCATTATCATCATTGTCATTATCATTTTATTATTATTACGTTAGAAACGAACGAATATTCATTCTTTGGCACTGCCACCAGGTCAAGCTTCGTTAAAGAAAGCAAAATTCATTGCAGTCCCCTCAACAGTGTCCACCGAGGAATTCCCTGGTGATAGGGCAGGTCTACAGCAGTACTGACCTCTGGACAGGTCTACAGCAGTACTGACCTAGGACAGGTAACGAGAATCTTCTGAGTGATGTTTTAGGGCCTCGAATAGTGAACGTTTATTATTGAAGCAATTATTCAAATTAGAAGAAGTCTTTTTCTGACTGTGTTTTGATAACACAAGTTGCTTGCAAATTTTATTTCCGTCCAAATCCGACATAGACAGATTCAGTGCAAAATTTTCTTTAAAAATTGTACAACACCTAATATCGTAATTGTAATTTTTTTTTTTCGTAGCACTAGTTATTTTACTGGCCATGATTCAGCTAACGATTTATAGTGTTGTTACAAGGTCATAGCCGCCTATCAAGGTTATGTTACCTGCTTGATGACCTTCGCTTCTTTTCTCACCCTCATTAGCATCTCTAATTTAAAAAAAAAAATCTTGACAAAGCTAATAGAAATCTTAATTTATTTAAAAGCGAGCTCATTCTCACAGACAAAACTAGGTTGAAGTTAACTGGGTGACGGGGGGAGGCAACTCGTTCTGATGAA